TCATAAATCTCCAGAGATTTAGTCCAAAAAAAGTAAATTCTGGAATTTTGTTGACTCAGATCTCAAATCAGAATAATAACAGAGATCTAGAAAATCTTTCAAAATCACAACATATTTTTTCCACCTTCATATCAGAGTGCTGAATATGTTATTCTCCCAATTAAAGAAACAAAGTCATATGTAATAGCTTATTACAATTTTATATCCCAGCAATAATTCCTATCTTTTTTTTTTTTTTTAGTATTACATATAATCAATGCCAGCTCTTCATTTCTAACGTTGTTTTATGACAGTGAAAAATAAACATGTAATTATAATCACCTAACACAAAAAGAAAAATGTGTCTGCATTAGCTAAAAAATAAATAATACATGATCTCATAACCTGATTTTATGTAAATATAATTTGCCAATTAAATTCAATGTGTGCGTATAATTTTTTCCATTAAGTCAAATTACCGCAGAAAAGCCTTAATTAGTACTACAGATGGTTAATTATGAAAGGGAACACTTGTATGTAAATAAACAATTTCTCTGTATAATATTCAGGAGATTCAGTGAAAACTTGGCATTGGCATAAAGTTGGAGGGTTTACCCGTCTATACCACTCTATACATATCCCTAAATGTTCTGTTATATATGATCTACTTATTGCTTTTAAAAAAGTAGCATTTGTTTGAAACCTGGGATGAACAGTTAGTGCACCTACTGCCCTTCTTCCTCTTCCTTCTGTGGTTGATATATTATTGCCTTGTATTTGGAGCCATCAAAGCTCCTTTAGAGTGCGAAAGGTGGGGTGAATGTATTTACAGTCCCTCTGCAAGAATTATTTCTTTTTGTCCTTGATAACCTAACCTAACCTGATTATGATTCTAAATTAGTTCCACTCATCCTTTCCTCTTTTAACTCATTACCCCAAAAGGTAGGGGTGCAGTTAACAAAAAACACTTACTTGAAAACTGATGAAAGTTACCTTTTATGTACCTTTTATGGTTGTTTACTTACTATTACTAATTATTATAATTATTATTATTATTGATACTCATTATCATATCACTTATATCTCTTAGAGTGTCCATACTGCAATACACCAGCATGGGCCATCCGGACAAGCACTGCTGGAGTTAAGTAAAATGTACATTGACGCATAAATTGAAAAATAAGAAGCCTTTTTTCCCCCAGTACATAATCATCTCCAATTATCCTGAGTTTACACACTAGATTCTTTTTTACCTGACATAAATATGAATGGGACAAATCTGGATATGATGAAAAAAAGAGAATTTAGTTCAGGCTTTCCGTATTCAATATAAAAATCATTATAATAGGGATATACTTTTTCATGATGTCTGTAGTGCTAAATGTGTTATAGTTTTTTTTTTCACTTTACAGAATTTACACCTTAGTACGTCAACACATCATATCTACTGAGATACTGAGAGAATAAACTCCCATAAATTTTCTTGGCTATGTAACGTAATGAATGCATCACTTTTATTCTTGTGGGGATTTTTCAGACCTTATTTATATGAGAATTAGGACGCGAGCAGAATGGGCTCTGGAGCAATCGTGGTCTCCAAGACAAACCGAGTAAATAGCCACATTGACCCGACAGATCCTTTCGAAACTGGGGCTGCGCTGAGCGAGGCGGGAGAAGTATTGATGTAAAACCCATGTCTGCCAAAACAAATTCACAGCTGAGCCATGAATATGTTATGTTACAAGCTAGTCTGTGCAATAACAGCTCCGAACAATCTTGTGCGGAAGCCAAAAATATTTTCTCTAAGATTTCTCTATAGTTTGTAGATGGAAGCTCCACAACAACTTTTGACTAATTTGTATATACAGTATTTATATATGTATATATGTGTGTGTGTGTGTGTATCAATGTGGGAATTACACTCCGGGGCAGCCATCACTACAATTAATTGTATCCCTCTTCCACTAATAAAATAGGGATTTGACAATGCGATTCTCTCGCCTCAGCTCCACTCCCAGCATATCACTTAATAGAGAGAGAAGCTGCTTTCTTGTAATGTAACGCCCACAAATCCTAGTCAGCAGACTATATGTATATCTAAACGCCGCCCTAACATTAAAGGAAAATTAGCGTCAACCATTGCCCTAATTTTAAAAAATCATATAATATATAAAATGTACAATGCTGATAGGTGCCAACAGTGCTGCGTTTTGGGGTACTTTCCCAGCAAACACTGGTCACATATTTTCAAATTGCCCAATAGTTCAATCTGTTGGGCAGATTTTA